ATCGATCCCGCTATGTGAATGGCTCTTTTGGTCAAACTTTACTCCGATTTCCCTCCTTCTTTTACTTATCTTCGCCCACGTACCTCCTCGAGCACCTCGTACGAAACCTATTCTATCAAACGGCTTTCGACGAACGTCTGCTCGACACGTTTTTCAGAGTTTGCCCCGAACGCGTATCGGCTTCCATAATTCCAAATCAAGATATTGGGTGAACCGTCGCGTAAATTCCTTCTCACTTCTTCAAGGAAGGAAATATTGCCATCAACGCATACGCGACCGGCAGATATTTTACGTTTCTAACATCGAGTACCGACGAAAATAATAAAATTCCAAAGAGTAGACATCCCGAATTGGTATCGTCGAGGCGAAGAGAAAAATTACAAAATATGTTTTGAAACATCAATGTCGTGAATATGTGGTGTATAAAATAAAAAGATTTTCATAATTTTTTCATATGTTATGAATGCGTTGAAAGATGTTTGGAGAAAACTTTCGTTAAAGACGAACACGTTGCAAGAGCACCTGATCACGCTTCGATTAGATTTTATGTAAAATTCTAAATAACAGTTATTTTATTATTCGACGTACATACGGTAAATCTCAGCAAACGGATCTTCTATCGAGTCAATTGTTTCAGAGAAAAAAGAAAAATTGTTGAATACAGTCGATTTACTCCTTAATTCTTTCGAATAATTTTTCTTTCCTAATTCCGCGAGATAATACGATTCGTCGGAGATTACTGTAACATATTAGTCACTCGTCCACTTTATGGGCCGCCTGGCGCGGATAAGGAATCCCCCATAGGCTGCATTGTGCACCGCGAGAGCTTAGCGGAGCGTTCTGGAACGGCTTCGCCGCTGGAAATAATGAAAAGCTGAGACGCAACGACGAAATCCGTGCGTGCAAGGAGCGCGATACATCGGTTGGTTGTAAGGGACGATAATCGATAAAAAAAAAGAAAAAGAAAAAAAGTGTCTGTGCTGCACGAAAATTGTCAGTGTCAGTGGGTTATCCGGGCAGCACAGACGGCGCGTGGTCACGAAGCAGGGTCCATATAATCGATACTCCACTACTTGGAGTACCTGACTCCGTAGGGAGGGATGGAGAAAAGGAGACGGATCGGGATAGAAAAAAAAAGAGCCAGCGAGATTCGTGGGGCATCCACCGTTTTCCTGTACCGTGGAAGGCTTTTCCCACAAGAAACGTCGGCGTGACAAGAAGTCGTTCGCACGAATCGAGGCAAAATTAACGAGTCCGTTTCCTCGCTTCTTTTCCCCGTGGTTGTATTCAGCTCTTCTTTTTTTTCCTCTCCCTTCGCAAGAGGAACCTTACCTTTGCAATTCTCATACAGGTTTTTATCATCCTACGTACGCTCCCGGAAAATGTTTTACGTGCAACGTAAACGAATACTTTGCGACGCGTAAACCGCAATTTTTTCCCAGAGAAAGCGCGGGATACAAAAAGCGTAATGAAACTGTAGTTAACCGATTTTGCCTCGACTTTTTCCTGTTAACGGTTTTTTATTTTCAATTTGAAGTTTTTAAAAAAATGTTTAATTACTTCGGATTCGGGTCGCGCACGCGTGTCGCGACTTATCGTTTTCGTTTCGGTAGTGCGGTGAAATTAAGGGGGTGTCAAGTTTGAGTTTCTAGGAAAAAATTTAGTCATCGATGTGTTGATTATTGTATAAGAGACGATTACATGCAATAAAGAAAAAAAAAGAGGTAACTCGCAACTCTAAGTGAAAAATTAAAAACTTCAGAATGCGAGAGGACCATTCTACTCGTAGAAACGGGACATAATAAGGGCACGCGAAAGTTTTTGTAACGAGCTCTTTGTTCAAATTTCTTAACAGTTCTTGTCTCAAGCCGCGTCCTACGTTTCTTGCCCAAGGGTACAATGAAGTATAGTCATAGTAATGAAAGTTTATACTAAACGTATTTAGAATATACGATCTTGCACACTTTCAAATGTTTATTGGATTAATTTAATTATCGTAATTTACGAAGCAAATTCTACATACACATTGCGTATCTCTCCCATATTAGGAATTGCCATAAATGCGTTAAATTCACAATCTAATTATAATTAATTTGTTATTACGATTAAACTAAATATTGTGCTATATTTGTATAATGGTTCAGCTTTGATAACTGTGTCCTCTATTAATTATGGCAGTATAACAACGTGAACTTAAGGGAATTGAATTTCAAAATGATCCAATTTGTACGGTAAATATAGTGCAATATTCACTTTCATCATAATAATAAATCGATTTTCTATCGTATAGAAATTTTGTTCACAAATTTACACCAAATTTTTATTATTAATTTCATATCGAAAAACTAAAATAAAAAAAAAAAAAAAACCAATTGATGCTTATTTTAGAAATTTCAAATTTCGTAATTCATTTCGTAATGTTAGTTCATTTTTATTTTCTACTTACTACGTACTCGAAGATATCCGAACAAGCACCGATTACTCTTACTATTATTTGAACGAAGCTGCAGCGCACTTCGCTGTCGTTAACAAACATTAATACTCGGATGCATAAACATCTCCAGCCTCTTTTATCATTTCATGTTTCGAAACACTTATTTCAGTTCCAGTATTCAATGCGCCACCGGCGTCAGCCTTTTGGCTGCACTTCTGGGTCGCACAGAAATTGCTTTCAGGTTAAAGCTCTTCGCAGTCTAAAGAACTTATTACATCTTTCTGCAAACAGCACGATCTTTCTAGACAAGAGTTTCCTCTTGCCGAGATAACTGCGACATTAAAAATTTCTCGTAATTCCTTCGAATCGGTAAGCCTCGGAACGGTACGACGTAATAGAAGCTTGATCGAATGTATCGAACACGTTTCATCGACAACTACTATATTGGAGAGAGAGAAAAAAATAGATTACTTTCAGATTAAGGAAAATGTGGTACCTTAAGGGGTCTTATGTGAAGTTTCTTTTTATATATAATACAAAGAAATTTCCAAAAGATGGCTATGCTTATTATATTATTTTTATTTTATTTGTCTCTTATAAGATAAATAAAATGTCGCTGATACAATTTTATCGAGTTTTGTTAATCGGAAACCAGAGGATTCCTTTTTCATACCTTCTTCTTCAATTGCTAATACTCTCAATTAATAGTTAATTGTATTTCATCTTAAAGAATCATTTAATACTAACTCTTCTTATTTTTCGTTGTTTCGTCGTTTTTGCAAAAGTACATGTACCAAATTCTTCAACCCTAACATTGAACTCGTATGTGATATATCATTGTACATAGGAAACTGTACACCACAGTTTAAAAACGAGTATTTGACCATTCGTGGTAGCTTCGGTATTAAAATTCCTTTTGAAAACCTTTAGAAGACGATTGAAACGTCTGACCCCTGAGTACGAGTGGTAGTTTCTACCAAAGTTCATTCATAATATCTTTTAATATCTTTCTTCTTTTAATACGTCAAAGGATTAAAACGTTCATCGGTAGTTGCATCGGTGCAATGCAAGATGGAAAATGTATCCAAGATCGATGCCACGAAAAATAGGCTGACGACGTCCAAAATGTGCAATTCTGCAGTAGACACCAGTCAGGCCGGTGTTCGTCGACGGTGCCAGGTGCAATGGTCGAACGGTATAACAACGTAAACGGCTGCCGCATTGCCGATGTCGTGCCTGCCGTAACTACGGTACGTGGGGTACGTGTACCCTCGTGCACCCACGTCGACCTCTGGCTCTCTCAAGGGGTGGACGACTTATCGACCTGGTGCCAGTCAGGCCTACCACCTTTATCTCATCGGTACTCGAATCGCGAAATCTGCCAGGCGAGTGCTCGATCGCGCCATTTTCCCTCGAGCACACACACCAGCCGGAAGATCGATTTGTGCCAAGAGTGGCCGAAGTTTCGCGAATGACGCGATGCCATCGCGAGATTGTTGTCGAGTCTTCCGCGAGGATTGAAGTAGCAGGTTCTTCTTTCTTTTTTCTTCTAATACGAGCGCGACCACTTTCGCAGATGAATTGAACCTTTATTCTACGTCGTGATGAATCTGTTGGCGTACACAAAGAAAGAAACAAAGGAAAAACAGACAAGAAGAGGCTTAAGAGAAGGGGGAGGGGAGGTGCTGAAGATCTCCAGGGTGTCGAAAGATTCGCAATGTGCATTCTACCCTTTAGTTTGCGCTCCCAAGAGAGAAGGGGTAGTAGGGAGTACCTTCGCAGTGTTTGACGAGAGGCCCTTGTCCTTCTAGGTCGTCTCTTTGGAGTGTTTGCGAATCAGGCCGCGACCCCGTCGTCGTCGTCGTCGTCGTCGTGAACCGGCGGCTGTGGTGGTGGTTGCGCCGCGAAATTAGAACGTTGCATTCGTGAGGGTAGTCGCTGTCTCGCCCCTGTGGCGGAGGGGGGCATCAATAGGAATAATACGAGGAACTATGCAATGCAGCTCGGGCATAGGTAGACGCGAGTGTAACGACCTTACACCCCCGCAGGTAGAGGGATCGATGGGCACCAACTCCGGGCAACCTCTCATCTACGGCTCCTACCGTGCTGTGGGCCGACTTCCTCCGCCGTCGTACTGGCTTGTCCCACTTTTCTATCACGTTTTACCACCACGACGTAGCCACACTTCGGTTCGCGCCTCGCGACCGCCGTGTCTCGACGAGCAGAACTTGCGGTGTTCCTTAAATACAATGGCTTCGTTCGAAACGTTTCTCTCCGGTGAACAATGGCGATCCTGCCAATCGTTTCGAAATAGAGGCGCAAAAAACGAAAACGATGAATCGAAAGGACGATACTTTTAGGCTCGGGCAAACTTATGAGCGATCATTACAACACATTTTCGATTTTCGGGGTTCCGAATCGAAGACAGCTAATTTGAATTTTAATGCATGGTGACACCTTGCTTACGCGACCATGTTGGGAGGGCGGGCGCGAGACGGTAGAGATTCACTAGCTTATTCTGTTACAACAAGCTGTACATTCGGAGCGAAGACGTAACAACGATGGCACAATTAAAAATAAATTAAAACGTTACGATTTGTACATTTTATTTGTCTCTTTCTTTTCCATAAAACACGCTAATACCGCGTTGCGCGTGCACATTGATATATCAAACGATCTGCTAGAAAAACAAGTGCGCGTTTATCCTAGAATGAGGACATGCCGTTTTATCATCGTGAAATGTGGTTAGACTATACAAGTGCCGCTTACTGTAAGGATACGTTTATTAAGTGCATTGCGTATAAATAAGTCAAAGACTCTCAATAAAATGTTTGTAAAAATTCATTTATAAGAAGTTTATATTTATGAATATAGAAGATAGAATGTAGTGGAATAAATCGACGTTTTAAAATCATTACACTAAACAATTATTACTAAAGGATACTATCTAGGACTATTTTCTCTCACAGTTATCATAGGTTTTACAGTCCGAGACACAATGGTTGAGTTCGAGAAAATGGTGTACCCCATGGGATCGGGCCGATTTTTTGTATCATAGGTAGCCTTTGACCTGGCGATTACAATTGTGGTTACCTTGACCCTTAACTCCCCCCTCTCCCCACGGAGTCTGCGGGGAATGAGACGGAAGGTGTAAGACTCTTTCCCCCGCTTAACCTCCGTGTAGACAGTACATACCATAACGGTATTCGATATTGCCGTCCCCACCAAAAATTACCCTAAACCTACTCAGACATTCCCGTGTAGACAGTATGTACATTAACGGTATTCAATATGGCCGCACCCACAAAAAACTACTCCAAATCTACTCAGACAGTATGTACATTAATTGTATTCAACATTGCCCCCCCCCCCTCCCCAAAAAAACTACACCAAACCTACCCGGACAGTAGATTTCGCGCCTGATGCTATGATGTTCCTCCAAGTAAACAAAAATTTGAAAACGACGTAATCACCGCGGTCGGTGCAAAAGAAACACTTTTTGAACCATTTCACAGTTTTTGACCCCTGAGGAGGAGGAGGGCAGGAATTAAGGGTCAAGATGACCACTATTGTAATCGCCAGGTCAAGGGCTATCTATGATAAAAAAAAAAAATATACATGTCGAATTGAGTAACCTCCTCCTTTTCGAAGTCGGTTAAAAAATCAGCTCGATCGGAGAGTACCGCATTTTCTAAAATCCAACCGACATAATCGTTACTCTACGTTGGCGAATGACAAGTGTACTCTCTCGACCAACATCAGATCTGCAGAATCGAATAAATTAAATAATTCCGAAACGTAGCGTAATTTGTAAAATTTATTGTTGCCATTATTATCCTAGACCTTTTGCATCAGAATTTGAATGATGTGGATTATGATTTATATCAACACCATCATCCTCTGACAGCGCATCGCTTGTTTGATTCTTTTCCAATTCTGGGTCATTCGTATCCTGCACAAAATAATAAAATATAAAACAATTACTAATCGATGTAATCGCATAAAATGATTGATACTAACCGAGGCTCCCAGGTGTAAGACGTGTTCTTTAGATAAAATTACGACTAGCTATTTCGGGGGACAAATGACACGCTAATATTGGCATGCGTCGTATGGTTTGGGTCTCTTTAAGGTATATTTTTTAATGTTCAGCCGAGCAATCATAACAACTTGTTTTGGTAACCGCGCTATGGGCTCGGTAATTAGTAGTCAATGAACCATAACATGAGCATGAATACATTAAAAAGACCTAAACTACACAACGAACGACACACCAATATCAGTGTCATTCAATCCCTAAATTAATGCTAGCGAAACGTCGGAGTAACTTGTTCAAAGTACACGACTTGTACCCGGAAGCTTTAGTTAGTATCAACCATGAAGAACCAGATCGTGAAAGCCTCAAATATCTTAAACGTCTAATATGTTTACCGTTAGTTCTTTTGAGTCTTTGATAAACCTTTTCTTTCACGAACTCTTCGTTTATTTCGACATAATATCGTAAGAAATTTTCGGCATTGTTTAACATGATTTTAAATGTAACAATATCATCCCAAGATTCGATCACGAGGGAATCGGAAACCACGCTATCATCATGTATTTTTAGACATAAAAGATAGTATTGCTAACAGAATTCTGCACAGACAGATGTTAACAAAATGTGTATTCCTAAATTATTTTGTAAAATTCTATGGCGAATAGAACTTGAATCCAAGTTTTTTTACACGTATAATGATCGCTAAATGTTTCGTATATAATACAAGAAAACGATGGAAGTGAATATTTAATGCTGGAATCCATAAATGTATCAATGTTGTCTACACTATTAGTCCGCATATGCTCATATTCTGGTTCATTGAGTACCATATCACTACACTCTTCCGAACTTTCACTTTCATTCTCTATTTTTGTAGCTTCAAGCACTGTTTCGCACCCGTCGTCTAACTCCGACGTGAGGTCACTTGCCTGACTTTTTCTGAGAGAATCTTCTATCGACTCTTCACGTAACACCGGTACATGATTATCATGGTCGCTATCAACTCCGCTGTCCTCTTTAGTGTCTGATGTTGGCGCCGCTGATTGAATGATTAGTAGCGTTACAACGAGTTTCTTGTATTTTGTATCAAACGTGGAACTACCACTTGACGCGTGTACACAGAACGATAAAGGAAGTTCCAATAAATATTTCGCAGGCTCTTCGCTCTTCAGTATAAGGTACCGTTCTTGCACATCCAAGGAAACATCAGTGGCAGTTTTTAGTAGGGGTAGATCAATCGTGACGATTATCCTTTTAGGTTCTCCCGTATTCATTTTCGTAGCTTCGATATTAGTACGAAAGTCTTCCATCTCCATATCGGAATGATATTTTATAGAGAATTTAGATGTAACGTATTTGTTATTTGTTTCTACATTTTTATTTGACGTATCTTTATGACGAACAGTAGGTGTCGATGCGCGCTTTGGTTTCCTCTCTACCAGCTTCAGTCGTCGTTCCTTTTCTCGTTAAGGTTGGGCATCAACTTCTAATAGATTCTACTTGTCCACTAGCCTAGTTGTTAACTTACGTTGATGCTTTTTACTGTGACCAAGAATGCTGATCTCAGGCCTAAAAAATTGAATAAATCTGTTAACAACATGCGACTAGTTATTAAAACTTCACGTTTCATATTATACACGCATACCTAAATATCTGTCGGCTCACTAACGCGTTGAACCGTACTTTTTTCTTTAAGCTTCGCCAATCCGATTCGGAATTTAAATCTAGTGCGGAATCATACTGACAATCGATGGACGATGGGATTTCGTATTCGTCGGTACTGGATCCGGATACTGAACGCGAAAAATCATGAGTTCGACGTGACTTCAGTATACCTTTCAAAAATGTACCTGAAGTTCTGTCAGTCGTTTTATCTGTGATGCATTCTGAAACAGATCTATTCTCTGTTCCGCCATATTGTTGTTGACTCTCTTGCTGTTGCGTTGATCTTTCAAATTCATGTTTAACTTCATTGTCGGAATCTAGTTGATTCGGGGTAATATTTATAACAACACCATCATCCTCAGTTAGTACGTTAATTGTTCGGTCCTTTTCCGATTCTGCGTCTTCCATGGCCTGCAACGAATATAATCAAATATAAAATAAGCTTTAACTCGTTCGCGACAGGACCTGAATTTAATGTCCCACCGTGAGCGCGAATGTGTTAATCGTTCGGGCCATGCAGACGTACCGTTAATTCTTTCAGCTGGTTCTTGAAAGATACAGCTGTAGGAAAATTTTTTTCTTCCATGAACTCTTCGTTAACTCCGACATAATATCGCGCTAAATTATCAGGGTTCTTTAACACGACCGTAAAGACAACGTTATTATCCCATGGTTCGCTCGTAAAAGAATCGGGATTTATAGAATCTTCGTTAATTTCTAAACATAGCGAAAAATGTTGCGGGAAAAAACCCGCGCCTATAGATGCTAGTAAAATGTGTAATCCTGAATTGTTTTGCAAAATTCTATGGGATATGGAATCTGGATTCACATTTTTCACATTTACAGTGATTGCTAATTGATTATCATATATATTACAAGTAAATGGTGGCAGTGAATATATAATGCTGGAATCCATAAATGCATTCGTGTTCTCTATACTATTAGTCCATAATGCTGTATCGCTACACTCTTTGAAATTTTCATTTTCATGTTCTGTTGTTGCAACTGTGAGCGCTGTTTCACATTCTTCTATTAACTTTGGCATGCAGTCATTCGAGCAACCACTGCTAAGTGAATCTTCGTGTAACAGTGGTACAGGACTACCAGAGTCGCTATCAACACCACTGTCCTCTCTAGTATCTGATACAAGTACCGTTGGTGGTATGACTGGTAGTGTTACCACTAGTTTCTTGTATTTCGGATCAAACTTAGCATTACCCCTGTCAGCATCCACGTGATAGGGCAATGGAAGTTCTAATAAATACTTTGCTGGCTTTTCACTCTTTAAGGTAAGGTACCGTTCCTGTACATCTAAGACAGCATCATCTGTAGTTTTCAGTAATGGTAAATCTATGCCTATGATTAATCTTTTAGGTACAGTGGCATTCATTTTTGCTGTTTTACTAGTACTAAAATCTTCCAGTTCTATGTCAGACTGATGTTTTATGGAAAACTTAGGTGTAACATATTTGCTATTTGTGTCTTCATTTGCATTCACTTTATCTTGGTAATATTTAACAGGCGGTGATGCACGTGTTGGCTTCTTCTGTACACGGTTATATTGTTGTTCTCTTTTCCTATCATAATCTGCCATCAATTTCTGGTATATCTCGGGCTCCATATCCAATTTCTCTTTCGGTGGTTCCTTGGAAGGCTTTCTTATAACTGCTGAAAGAGGTACACCCTTGTACTTGATGTTTGGGAATCTGAGGTTTTTCCTATCCAATTTCATCTAACAGAACGAAAAGTAAACGATCACAAACGTGAAGGAATAGCAAAATCAAGGTATACTAAGTGACACTTACCTTGAACTTGCTTTCTATGCTATCAATGGCCGTGACGTTGATAGTATCGCGAAATCCGGCGTTTCTCGACGCTAAGTAAATTGCATCGGGATGGAACATCACGTCGAAGACCAGGCAACGTACATTTTTCTTATCGAGTTCGTCTCGAGGCGGTATAAGGATGTGAGGGATAGACCATTGTAAATTTCGATGACCTTGTTCGAAGACAGGTTGACTGCTCAGTTTCTCAACGACATCACTCTTGCAAATATTCACAAAACACTTCGTGTCTCCGTTTACACTAGTTTTTATGACGTAACCAGGATCGAGGCGAACAAACGTAATGTCGACGTTCCGTTCTTTTTCTAACTGCGTTATCTCTTTCTCGTAGATCTTCCTATTCTCCGGATCGGTCACCTCTTCCGCATATTCGACCAGCAATTTGCGAAATTCCTCCTTCTTCAAGCATTCTGTTAACGTCTTCAGCTCTTGCTTGGTCACATCCAAATCCTCCCAATCTTTTCTGTACGTCTCGTGCGCGTCCATCTTACGAAATGATGTCGCGTCGTCGCGTGTTTACAAATAAACTCGTTGGTAGAATGATCGCGAAGCACTTGTACCACGTGGATGGCGGCGCCACTAAACCGGCCGGTTAAATAGCGGTATAACATACAACTTTGAAATAACTATTACGTTTTTCTCTATCAGTTAAATACAGTTTATCAAAACGATAGAAATTCTTGGAATTAACATTTCTTACAATTTATGGAGCACATCCTCTTTTCCCTGACGAGAAAGATCCACTACTTAAATGTAAAAGATGATTGTTAGAATAAATTTCAGTTCGGAATAAGTAGGTAATCGACAACATAGTTAATAAATTCTAGAAGGTAAACATTGGAATTAAGAAGCCTATAAATAGGCTCCAGGTGGATAAAACTCCACCTTCTGCTTCATTTGTTATAAATAATCGAGGATACTACAGAACTTACCAAATATTTTCAACACTTAATAAATTACGTTTCCATTGAATTTAAATTTATTCAACTTTGTACGTTCTATAGAATATTTCGGAGAAATTTATCGGAGCACTGAATGAGATACATTAATTAAATTTAAATTTATTTTTTCGAGCAGAGGATCAACGAGCTTCGGGAACCGTTAACGATGTTCGTGGAAAAAAAAAAAGAAGTAAAGATTGTCTCGAAGGAACGAACCTGGATTTTAAATGTCAGGTAAGAGCGACGTATTTAGCTCGTCGAGCAGATTAAATCTTTCGGATAAGTATCTCGAAAGTATTTTTCACTCATATATAAATAAATGATTATGGAAAAGCGTTGTGAGTTTCCCTTTTCTCGGGATGTATAGTTGGTGGGAGTTCGAGTGAAGATGTGGGGATCAAGCGGTACGACGTCTCTGACCCACTGACATTCTCCTCAGTTTCTTGCAAGACACAACCGTTGGTAATTCGTGACTGAAAGTTTCGATGTCGGTAATCAGGACTATCGGTCGAATACATTTAAAGAAAAAAGGATACGTCCACTATTGCTGGATCACGGATCTGTCGTGTATCGTTTTAACATGCGTCTAAACCGTGGCTTTTTGACCAGTGTCGCTGTTTGCTCGACGGTTCTCTTCGTTGTTTTGAGATCGAAATCGTCGACAGAGTTTGCGAGCCATTCAGAGGACGATATAGAGAAGCGTTATGCGAAGGAACAGGTAATCGATAATAGCCATAGATGAATTGTATCCAATAATCATTTGATACAAATTTCTTGTTATCTTGTTGTTTGAATTACTTCGTATTGAGTAGATACTAAATTTGACATTCGGTTGGTCTTCGAGGTAAGTTTTCTTGGCGCGGTATGTAAAAAGAAAAAAAAGAAACGTCAGTTGTCGAATGATAATTCGTATTGTCGACATTTCGACCAATTTGTGAAAGTATGTTTTAGAAAATATGATGTGTAAATTTCAAAAAAATAAGCAATATAAATATAATAATTTTTGAGAAGATGATTATGATAAGAGATACGAATAAGACATTTTTTTCTCGGTAGAGGATTGTAAACATAACTGGTCGTAACGTTTTTAACGAAATTCTTATAGGGAGATTACTTTCCATTACGTCAAACATTTCTAACGATTTAATTTATTCTTAATACATTTTGGGTAGAATTTTTTTCGAACATTGCACTGGTCGAGTTCGGAACGCGCTCGATGCAGTGAAAGTGCGTCAGCTGAGATGTAATTGCTGGAAAGTGATATTTCTCGTTTGCGATTTAGAAATGAGTTCACCAGGAAGTCGGGCGCGACAACTAAATAATTAAAAAATTAAAGTGACTCGATAAGGGAACCATTTTTGCTCTGTTATGTATGATTGATAACAGTGGTAAGATCAATAACCTCATTGAACTTTGCAGATCAATACTTACGCTTTCTATCAGAGATTAAATTGAATCTTGTAGCGTTTTTCTTTTAATTAAGATTAGAATTATTACCACGAACAAGGTCTAATTATGAGACTAGGGCTAAGAAGATTCACCTCGATGTAAATGGTTGCAATATTTTTAATTTAATTTTTCGTCAAGTAAAATTTACATAACTGATAGATAAGGATATAACGTACAAGAGGAGTGTAATAATTCTTTAATGAAAATCTTTTTGCACCAAAAATTTACCAAATTCACCCACACTTTTAAATTAAAGAGCTTTCACGTTACAAATAATGCTATTAACGACCCTACACTTCCATACAATTTAGCCAGGTCCATGTGTCGGATTAAATTTAACGAATTTTAGTAACGATAACGAAATCATGATTAATGCGATTTACTACGCAGACGTATCGATACGTTACGCCCTCGCTTGCGGAACTGGGCTCTCGTAGGAGTGTGGCAGAAATGAACAGACACATCTTGATGTTAACGCGTGTACCGGAAGCTGGGGCCGAACTGTTGGTTCTAATTTTGCAGCGTCTACAGGGCTACAATGCTTTCAAACATATACGTTTGCCACCTGGCGATCATGGACTATTGACAACATTGCAAGAGGTATAAACTAATCACACAAACGAATAGCTACACAATTATCTGAACAAATTTCGGAAGAACTTTCTTTTCCTCTCTATGTATAAATGAAGTCAGAAAGACGACATTGTTTAGAAAAGACTAGCTTTTGCAAGGTTATTCCGAAAAACGAAAATCGAGCTGTTTTCGCCACTAGAAAGAAGATTTCTTTGGTGCGTGTTAATTAATCTTCAAACACGTAAATTCTGTATATCAGGTTGTCCCAAAAGTTTCTTTCGTTATTTATACTCAATTATTTTGTGTGGAAGTGTTTATATAAATAGACAATCTAATTTCTTAGATGTTGATGTTGTAACAGTAATGGAGCAAAATGAATCGTACACGATTCAATAATGTAACATTAGACATAAAATATTGCGTATCTATTACTTATTAATAAAACGAAAGAAACTTTTCAGACAACCTAATACATTCAACGGTGTAAAGAGTTACTTTGAATTGTCCGAAATTGCATAGAATTTAATTACGAAACCACATTTATGTCGCCATGTACGGATTACCGCGTTGCGGTTAGATGACTCATGGGAGAATTCTTTGGATTATTGACCATGATAGTAATGGATACTCGTCGAATAATCGCGATGCCGTAATATATCTAAGCGTCGATCGAATTCCGAACGATAAAGGTAGAAGCATGAATCAGCTCCTGATTCATTGATCGTATAAATCTCGGCGAAATTTAATCACTCTGTGGCCGTTGCACTTTACGTTCACGTCAGAGTCGGTTTTCGGTGTTGCAATCGAAGTTGTACCACTTTCGTCTGCCCGGCTAAAGCGACAGAGCCGAGAATTCCTATTTGGAGCACATTCAGGTAGCGAGGAGCAGACGTGGTTCACGTAGTTCGACGAGAAAAGCAATAAATATTGAATGATCCAATGTATTTGGAGTACGGTAATCAATCATCCTGGCACCTCGTATCGAGACCTTCTATTCTCGGTTATTTCGTTAGTTCGCTATTTTTATAAAATTTTTAAACGGATTCCGTCCAATCAATACAACGCAACGCGAAACTTGCAGGCATACGAACGAGGATAGAATTTGTCAATGTTTCAATTATTTCATTAGAATCGTCCTCGCTATTTGTTAATAATATAATTGTATTTGTAGAAGTATATACATTGCCAACTAATTGAAACGAATAATGTGCAATCAGGAAACATCGTGACAATTATACTTAATATAAAATTCTTTTTATAAAGAATCCGAGTGGTGTTAATTTATAAGTTTTACACTTAGCGACATTAGTAGGCAGTGACATTAATAAATTACATGCTTATTTACGAAGGTGGTAGCTTCCGTCTTTATTTTTGTGCGTGGAAACATTTCTGTTCATAAATTCGTAGCGTTGGGAATTCCATTAGAATTTATTTAAGAAGAACATGGATGGCATTCTTTCGCAGGAACTATTAGTGGAAGAAATGACTAATATCATAAGGCAGGAAGCGATTCCTTTAAGTTTCGACGGAAACGTTAGGTTTTTAAATTTTTCGAAATTTGGACGACAAGCTCCAACGTTTATATCTTTGGTGAGAAATCCCATCGGTGCTCAAAACTTACAGAGGTAAAAGACGTCACGTTACTTTATATGCACGTATGCAAAACGAAATATTAATATTGTTATGCTAATTAATTATTATCAGTGTATGTCAGAAATCCATGAAATCCGCAGTCCGTTTATAAGAATTTTGTTAAGCGAGATACATATTGGCGTTTAATAGAAAACTAGACCCTCTTACAGATATCACGAACAAGGAAAAACGGTGCTTGAAAGTAGAGCCGTACCTATATTTTGCGGACAAGACCCTCGATGCACGTGAGTACCTAGGTGTACACACGCAATGGCGAGAATTACGTAAATAGAGAAAACGGTTATATAATGTTTAATTTGATACTATTATAACTTGATAGCGCGGCCTCACTACACATGATAAAAATAATTAGTTCGAAAGCGTAGATTACGAGGAATGAATCGTTATTTAACTGGTTCCTTGAATTTCTATATTTATAATAAATTGCAAACGTGACATGTGTAATATAGTATATTGAAGAATAAATCCAAAAACAAAGGATGTATTGATAATACACATTTAATGTGTCGAATGCAAATATGTATTTATATTAATTACAGTAACTATTATGCACATTTACGAGAGTAAATATCCTAAAAAGAGAGAAGTAAAAATTGATAAAAATTAGCGAACTAATGAATTATGCAAACAAGTAGAACCATAATGCGTGCCAATATCGTCACCTGAAGATAGAAATAACGATTTTCCTATTTATAAACTCGTCACTGCAAATAACATTTTTATTTTTATTTTGTATCCTTTCTATATCGTTGCCCTGGAATTTATAGAGAGATAAATAACAAATGGGCATTGCAGCGGGCTAAAGCAAATATTGTCGAATGGTACCCAGTTGTTGGTATTTTAGATTGCATGGAGCAATCCATAAACCTATTGGAACATAAATTTCCATACTTTTTTCGCGGTGCAAGGCAAATTTATAGAAAAATTCGTAAGTAAACATAAAAAAAAAAAAGAGAGAAATATATTTCAGATATATTTGTACAAGAAGTACAGTTTTGATACTCTGATTACTATTACTTAGGACCCAAGAAATACCTTTCCGATACTTCGATTACATTAGATCCACGAGAACGGGAGATATTGTTCAGACACTTCGAGGATGAAATAGAATTATATCAGTGGCTAAAATTTCGACTATTCAACGAAACATCCTACGACGTTGTGGAAAACTAACGCCTACGAAGAAAAAGTTGCCGTGGCCCACTGGTATCTAGTTTAAAATTGCACCAAAGATAATTATATTAAACATATTGTGGCGATATTCTATTAACAACGAGTGAAAGGTTGTTTTATACTGATTGTACTGAATCGATTCGATTAAAAAACATTTTTCAAGAAGAAAATGTAAGTAATGTTTGTTCCCCTCTCCTGTTTTGATTATAGATTCCAGCGTTTTTAAATAATAAATGGGATATATAATGAATCCAGAGGAATATATTATAGCAGCACTATAATTGTTAATAATTATCCTTCGTTATTCATTATGTTCATTGCAAACATATATTTCCATGTAGGACATATAAACTATGATGAACTAATTTTTCATATATATTCACAATTTTTACTTTCTTCTGAAAATTCATATAAATCTACTTCGTAGTAATTACGACAATTCAACTTTTAATTGTTGATTTGCACACAAATAATTTACCGACATTAAGTTTTTTAAATAAATAAAAAAATAACGGAAAATATGGCGTCATCTCTCGGCGAATCGTGAAATCGTTTCCACTTTGTGCCGCTAGGTGACACCACATTTCTCGGTATTTTTATTTATTTAAAAAACCGGATATCAGTAATTTATTAGTGTACAAATCAACAATTAGATGTTGAGTTATGATAATTATCATGTAAAATTACATTTATATGCAGGGAAAAGCAGAGAACTTATGTTTTGAATAATTTCATGTCACTTGCGGCATCTAGCGGCGTGAGGTGGAAACTATTTCACGACAAACTTGGGCAGTTCGTCAGAGATGGCACCATATTTTTCGGTATTTTTTTATTTATTTAAAAAACATAATATCAATCAATTGTTAGTGTAGAAATGTAGAACATGTAGAAAAAAATGAAATTATAACGAAAGGTGCAGGACTGAATTTATTATTCCTTTTTAAGTAAATGTATTTATAGAATAAATATGGAGAACATACAAAGAAACATTCAAGAACACGAGTTACCGTCTCATCTTTTTCGCATTCCCCATTCTTGTCACTGGTTGCTCGGAGTAATAGAAGCATAACATTGTATCGTGAAGCCGCTATTATTTATTTACACCTAGCAACTTTGAAGCATAACTTTTCCGTATTCCGAATCGTTGTGTAACATAAAACAAATGCCACGATTCCTCCTAACGATAATTACCAACGTTGATACGATAGAAGACTGCGAAAAATGATTCGAGTCACGCGAAGGAAGGACCTTTTTGTTGTTTCCATCGTATAACGAAACATGTAAAAATATTTACTCCTGTATTAAGCGTTCGCTATAAAAATGTTATTATCGTCATCGACAGTAGCGCGTATCGTTTGGAAACAATGTAAAAAGAAAAACAAATCATGGGATATTTTTAAGCGATTCCGGAGGTTTCACACGCATGTCGCGCGTGCAACAAAACATGAGGATCATGTTGATGTACAAATGAACGAGCAACAACATGAGCAACGCGTGTCATCACTTTTTCTTCGCGTCTTTTAGTCCAGCACCGGCGTTAAACTTAAAGAAGATGATGTCTCCATCTTCGACCACGTAATTGCGTCCTTGCTGTCTATATTTTCCAGCAGCCTGTCACCAAAATAAAAGAAGACAAAAGTAACACTCGTATACAAAAGTCAGTATCGTATGTAAATAGTGCTACGACTCTCACTTTGACCGCAGCCTCTGACCCTTCGTTCTTAAAGTCATCGTACTTCATTACTTCAGCCATAATGAATCCCTTTTCAAAGTCCGTATGAATCTTTCCTGCGGCTTGGGGCGCTTTCGTACCTTTCTGAATGATCAAAGACACGATGAAATAAACACGGAAATAAAATCTACGAAGATGTTCGTTTATATTCACCTGAATCGTCCACGCTTTGACTTCGTCGTGGCCCGCCGTGAAGAAGTATTGCAACTGCAGCGCTTTGTATCCTTGAATGATAATCTTGTCAAGGGCGCTGAAAGTGATTCGGAAAACGAAACAGGGTGTTACTTATAATCACGATTGAATCACAAGCGTAGCGTGAAACCACTAATCACGAACGGAAAATTGGATAAGTGGGACGGATTATATTGCGCGGGTGAGAGCCGAAGAACGAGAAGTTATTAGAGCTTGCACGACTGTACGAATAACATACCCCGTTGCGATACAAAAGTAAACCGATCGCCCGATTCTTCGGTACGGTGTATTAGAAAACAAAAAATGGACTCGTAAGTCGAAGAAGGGGTGGTCGGGAACCGGGACTGTGGAATATGATTGTCTCGAGCCGAATATCGTCTAATGACAGGGTACAAGAAGGGAGGCCATCCCGTTCCGTGGGCCCTGGCGGACTTCGAGACTTCAGAGAATACACATAAAGCTGAACGACTTAATACCGCAATTTTATCACTCTGACTCTGTCCGAGACCTACTTCGGCGCCTAAGTTATCTGCGGTCAGGAAATAAAATCGCGGTATCTAGAAATCTTTCGTTTGTCCCCTGTGATTACCGGGTGAACCACTCTTATACGATCATTTCGAGGGATCGAGGGAGTTTGCCGAAGAATTTCGATCTCTACCCACCGACGTGAGATTATGGTCGTCATTGGTGATCATGATTTAATATTTGCTTCGTCGCGATTCGATCGATCCTGGTGGACGAAAGTATCGAAGAAATATTTATAGGGTTGTCTTTTGCTGGAGTTTTGTTAGCTTTCTTCATCGATGAGTGATAGAAAAGAATTCATAGCTTACCGTCTATTGGAAAGATATTCTGTTACCTCATTTTATAACTATGTGACATGTAAAAGAAAGGAAAGAAAAGCCCCGGAAGCGGAGGCGCCATGCGTCTTGCGCTCTCTTTTTCTCTCTGGCGGTAACGTTTTTGTTTGCGTGAGTAGGTTAAGGTAAATTAAGGTAGTATAAGCTTTAGTTTTTAAGATATGTAAAATTGGCAAGAGATGCAACGGAAGGGGCCCGGCGAACCTCGAGGAGAAGCTGAATAAAGTATACATACATACATACATACATACAACTATGTGACATGTAAATAAACCAGTGTTAACAACGCTATTTTAACAATAAAGGGTCATTTCAAATTTTCGTCTTATGTCGAAACATCCCCATTATATGTTCCATTACCAGTAAGAACGACTACTGTACATCGATTACGATTAAGTGAAATCGAACAATTTTTGTTACGTAAACTAATGACGACGGATTTCGTCGTCGATAAAAATATTTGAAATATAGGGAGCGTGCTGTACAACGCATGAATCGGTCTTATTCGTGTATGACCCAGTAGCCAACTGAACCGGTTAGTCCTCGTTCCACTCATCCCCTAGCTATACCGGTGTGTGCCCGGGAGGGCAGGTGGAGTTTTTATGCAATTTTACAAGAATTTGAATAGCCGTCCGTAAAAATATAATGCGCCACGCCAAATGATGCCGCAGTTTTTATTAGTCGTCCTACATGAGAGCGGGTCGAGTCTAGACGCTTCGACTGAACCCTCCATTATTATTACCGTTAGTAGATAACTCGGTGCATAGTTAAATGTGGGAACCCCGGCTCTCGTTTGGTTGGCGTCACGAATTTTTAGAACGATCGTTTCCTTTCCACGCAACCTTTCGCGGTTAGTGTTTTATAATTGGTCACGGATACGACTCGGGCGTTGCAAATTACGTCAGAAAAAAATTATTACATTACAATGTCTAAATAGGTCAAGGTAAATTCATTTCTGGACGAGATGTTATCGAGCACGGCCAATTTTAGAAGAACTTCTTACTTTTCAGGTATATGAAGGTATATGAAGGTATATGAAGGTATATTAGGTATATTAGGTAGGCTTTGGATAGACAGATACGAGCACAGACGTGTAGAATTGATGATGAAAAAGAAAACTAAATAGAAAAAGTATTATAAGAAAGAACGATTAAAAAGCATGCGTGCAAAAGCTTAAGAGTCGGGTACACATTTTTAATGGTTTTATACAGATAAAGATTATAAAGCTATTATAATCGGGAAGGTAATTTTAATTTAATTATTTTATCATCGAACGATGTCTAAATTATAGACAGGTTTACGCACCTAGTAGCTTTCTGTTCTTCCAAATATTTCGCCCGTTCGGCCTCGTTCATGTCGACAAGCTTGTTTTCGAAAGCACCACTGAAAGGGATTAATACAGCTCCAGGATCGTTCTTATCGACCCATTCCTTTATTTTGATCAGCCTGGATACCATACCATAATATACGATTAGAATTCTAATGTCAAGCAACGCTGAGAATTCTGAATAGATTATATCAAGCGATACATTTAAACAGAGAGAATTAAAGTACTTTTCAAGATTAACGTTGAGCACGCAATAAATTGCACTTGTTCATGCACTTGTGTACATACCACTTGTTCTTTTTACGTATATAATCCTTTTCCGAGAGATTGACCAAATAAATAACTGGTTTCGACGTGAGGAATAGATATTTATTAAGAACTTCGATCTGCAACAGTACGGTCACGTTTTCAGCTGATTTATAAATTTCGAATCGAAGGTACGAATGCGGTGAAACTTACATCGGTGGCACTCCAGTCGGCGAACCTGATGTGCCTTTTCTCGTCCACCATTACGCCCTTTACTTTCAGCAGCGTGTCCTAATCAGAAAGATGTTTCCAAGGTTTGTCCAGAAACTTTTATGGTAGACAATGAGATTTCGTTCTTTTTCAAACATTCTCGCTCAATGCAAATTTACTTTTACTACCAATCGGAAGAAACCAACGTTCCGTTTAGTATTTAACCGCACGAATACGCGCCACCGGGTGGAATGATTCCGTGATCGAACTGTGATTAGAGGACTGGCACACTCTCGCGAAACGTCGCTCCATTAGTTTGGCTGAGAGGACGAAGAGGTAACTTGGAGCTCTCGTAAAGTTTTAGCAAATTGCAAAGTCTAGAACGAGGGAGAGATCGAAAATTGGCGTGGGCCAATCCACGGAAAGAGGGTAATTCGATTGATTCGTTCTAGGAAACAGTGTGCCGCGATGGGGCTCGCTCTTAATTTCCTCGGTTAGTCCAAGCTTGGTAATATACTCGCGTTTACAACGGTTTCCTTCTGGTCTCGGAGCAAATAGTACGAGGGAACTAGAGTGACTTTTAAGGAAACGAGCCACTTAACACGATTCAATAATCGTTGATACAGGCTTGTTAAACGATATCGAGTCTCTGCCAGAAATACATTCTACAGTATTTTCAGATTCCATGCGAATCATTTTTACGTTTAACCCATTCGCTGCCAACTACGAGACGTCTCGCAGTTCAAATTAATTGCAGTTAATCGAGGGATATGTTTTTAGCATTTTGAGTCACGAATTAGTGCAAAAGAAGATCGTAAATTTTATTTTAAACAACAAATTTAATATCACTTTTTATTATCGAAATAATAATAGATTACACGTCTCTATTAAATCTCGGCGTCCAACGTAGAATATCTGTTTTATTAGAAATAAAAACAAAATCCTAAAATCCCTCTCCAGAAATTCTTTTTAATTTCAAGTCTGTACAAAAAATCAGATTTGATCTGTGCACTGCGATATTTAAATAGAACGATCGTTCATCTAGGTTATTATTTTTGAAAAAATTACTTACGTATTCAGGCTTCAGTTTCTTGTCGTTTCCGCGAACAACGAGCTTTTCCAATTTCTCGAGATGACCATTGAGGAACTCGATGTCTTTCAGTCGCAGTTCCTCGCTGATGATCTCGAGATCCCTCACGGGATTCACGTCCCCCTCGATGTGGGTGACGTCGTCGTCGTCGAACGCCCCTGCAATCAGATGGTTGAAAACACTGGATTAACCGTATTTAAGGATTCGTTCGATGGGAATCGGCGGTGTTCCGGGAAAACGGTTAACAAAAGCCATAACGTGCTCCCCTGATGCTCGTAAACCGAGCGTGCGTGTTGCAAAGATAAGTTCGCATCCATAATTGCGCGTGCAGTACACGGAAGAAGTAAACACGGTGACAAACTAATCTCTCGATCTCATCGACAGGCGCATTACCCTCCCCCTTAACGTAATTGATTTTATCAGCCGTCGTTTGTCCTGAACAATAACGCCGTCGTTTATACTTACTCACGATAAACGACTGTTCGCTGAAGATTGGCAGAATGTTATTCGAATAAAAACAATGTGCAGCACTTTATTCGCAGTCGTTTCGTTGGAACAGTTATTTTGATGATATATGAACAGAAAGGCTTGCAAGTATACAAAAAAACAAATTGGGGGTTCGACTTTGATCACTTGCCTTTAATAATGACTAGTAAAGTAACGAAAAGTGAATATGTACTCAAAGTAACTAATCACTGAAATATAAATGACAAGGATAAAGGATCATTGGTATTTCATGAGCAATCATAGGAACTCATCATGAAAAGTAACACGTGGAAAACATGTACCTGATTGATCTAGTTTCATTTGTTTGAATTTTATTAAATATTTTATTATTAATGTGTAATTTATGTATTTCGTTGTAACTATGGTGCCCTTAAATTATCAACGAGTTCCTTTCGAACAATTTTTATAAATCTTGATATACAAGGGCTTTGAGGGTCGCTAAATCTAAATCTGAATTCAGAACTTAGAAACTCAAAATGGCGGATTCAATATGGCGGACCAAAATGGGATTTGATTCTATTTGAACGAAACTTGGTACGCAAGAATTTTTGTGTCCGTTGACTCCAAATCTAAACTTGGAATTTAGGAACTCAAAATGGCGGATCCAATATGGCGGACCAAAATGGGATTTGATTCTATTTGAACGAAACTTGGTGCGCACGAATTTTTGTGTCCGTTGACTCCAAATCTAAACTTGGAATTTAGGAACTCGAAATGGCGGATCCAATATGGCGGACCAAAATGGGATTTGATTCGATTTGAACGAAACTTGGTGCGCAAGAATTTTTGTGTCCGTTGACTCCAAATCTAAACTCGGAATTTAGAAATTCAAAATGGCGGATCAAGGAAGGCGAAATGAAGTGCGAAAAACGAATGGAAAATCAATAGCACAGAATCCCGCGCGTTAAAAGTGACTTTTCCATTCCTTTTCCAGTTACAGGTGTAACTTTTTGTAAAAAACTTCCGAGTAAGTGCGTATGGAAATAACTTACGACAAAGATGGAAAATGCCATCGCAGGCGTTGATGTGCGATAAGAAACTGTTTCCCAAGCCCTGTCCCTCGGCGGCGCCTTTGACCAGTCCAGCGATGTCCACCACGTTCAAGAAAGCTGGAACTTTGCTGAAAGCAGTCGCGAAAGATGTCCCGCGTTACAATCGTCGACTTGGCCCGCGAATGAAAAACTCGTTTAGGCGCGTAATCCTGGCATTCACGGTGGCATGCACGCGTCTGGAATTGAAACGAGGGTGTCGCAGTGACAACGAGCTGTATTTAAATGCTAATACGAGTAGCCTCATTAAACAATTAGCCTTTGAAGAGTGGCGCGTTGGTGAAATGAACAAGAAGAAGGGGGATGCCGCGTTAGGTGGCTTTCATTAGGGATTGTTGAATCATCCGACACGTGCCAGTAGTCGGACCGTGCAATGTCGCTGCCAAGAGTGTTCCAGAGCTTTGGATCGTGGGAGGCCAGAACTAAGAGAGACCCTCTTTGATCTACCACCGTTTCGCATTTTAATCTCTCCAAATTAACGGAATTGTCAACCAGCACGTGTCGCAAAGCAAACTAAACTTCTACCCAGGCTTCCATTTTATAATTATTACTCGTTTCTTTCTTTACACGGTTCTCCACGGTCCATCGATTACCGTTTGTTTACTTTTATACGCTGCGCTGTCTGTTTACACGTTCCCAACAGTTTTCAATCCGTACTGTTTCCGAGCTTGGTATGCTTCAGCTCCCCATCTCCAAGGAATTAATGAATTTAGTTCGGTATCCGTGTCGTTTCCTTTTGTTACTCGCTCTGCCTGTTCAATATACGTTCCGCTATAGCGTTCGAAGGATGTTTTTCAGTCTATGGAACGTATACCCTCCCCTGACTTTGCTGCTTTGTACATTCAATCTCTTCGTGTCAACGAGCGAGCACGATGACGCGCGACACGGTAAACACGGCTTTCATCGATAGTTGCTCGGGCTGATGTACACCGCAGCACGTATAGCGGTTTCCACGTGTTTCAATGAAGCAGCAATTGTCACACCTGATCAACCACGGACACGCGTGCGGCACTTCGATGGACTTCTACGGTTTAACACGTTGACACAATGGCTAGAAAGAGTACTCGTACGCCTAGTTGTTTCGCGATAACTTTGCACAAACAAGCGATACACGAACATAATCTACATTAATTGACCCGTCACTGCACCGATCGATTAACTCCATTTTTTGAAAAATCTTAAATTTAAGTGTCAAAGCGCTCGGTACAATCGTAACTTTTTATATCTATAGAAACTTTCCTGAAAATGGAACAACTTCTTTCGATATTTATTTGTATTTATATTACAAAGGGAATCTTAAAAAAAAAAACAATGTACATTATTTCATCGCATTTCACAACTTTTTGTTTTATGAAGTCGATCGATTTGTGCAACGAACGGCTCAATTAATAGTCCTTCCTGTACTGTAGTCATAATTATGTAGTTCGAAATTGTTAGTAATACGTAATAAAAAAAAAATAATAAGAGTAGTACAAGAATTTGGGAGAGAAAAATCAATATGAACGTAAACGTTAGAAAATAAAGTTGCCGATACAGGAACAGACGATGCGAAAATAAACGAGATGAGATGAAATACTGTCTTAAAGGGACATTGTAAAGCAAGTAAAGAAAAGGGATATGTAAAGTCGGTCGACGTTTTAACATGGACTTCGTGTCGCGTAGACGAGATCAATCTGCATTGCAGATCACGTGCCGTTTTCCTCCCTGCTCTGTCCCTAGCACGCGAAAATAAAAGCGAAGAAGTATGGAAATGCCAATGGTTATTCTGACTCGTTTCCCATCGCGAGGGTGCGTTTCCACGTAGACACGTTGCTTTCTTTCGATAATACGGTAACGCGTTCAATGGTGGCTTATTTTACGTTACGATGAAACGATATTTACTCACCTAGCCGGCTTGAAATACTCGCACAAATAATCGTATCTCGCGTCGGGCACGGGTACTCGACGTGCTGGAAAATAAAAAGAAGAGTTAGACTTCTGGAGAGGAAAATCTTGCAGTTAAATTTTCATACGAACGATACTTGTTATTTACAGTCTAAGTACGTGGTAACGCGTAATAACATATTTGAACTATTCATTATGAAAGTGAAATAAATTCATTTTCCTTTCTATCGAGACGTAAAAGGAGTGATCAAAGTTTTCATAGTAGCGAAATAGTAGTTTTGCTAACCATATATTTTTTTTTTCTTAAATTACACAGAATAGTATAGCTTACACTTCCATAACTCATACAATATGGGTATTGATAATACAGTGTTTTTTTTAAAGATTGGTCATCCTGTCTCTATGAACCATTCAAGCGGTGACGTAATCGGAGAAAAAATATTTTGTTCACTCTAATAGTTACAGGAAATTGTTTAAATAAGACTATCCCTTGTGCAATTTCATTAATGATAGTAGAAATTATTTTTGTAATAAGTTTTTCTTTACAAATAGAGAATCTGACGAACTGTACTTGATGGAAGTTTGATCGAATCGACATACTTTTTAACTTATACCGCTTTGATAATAAATGACGAATTTATTAATTAAGGATTCGTTTATTATATTAAAATACAATTAATCATATACACTATTAAGCAGCAAACTACACGAATTCAATTCTACAATTCTTCTTCAATTGAATGCAGCATGAAGCTATTATCAGTTTTGCTGAGGTCACGAGTAATCAGACTAGGAAGTATACTACTACCACTGTTTCCATCACTTCTTCACGATTCAGTACAAAATGCTACATGTATCGAAGATAATCATCATTTTCGTGTTCGTTTGAAGTCGCAAATGCTATCCTTGATACGAGCTCTATCACAACGTGAATTCTAAACATTATTAGGCAGCAAACAATCTAAATTCAATCATCGACTTCCACTTCACTCGGGTCAACGAACATCTGCGTCGGCGATGTTCGACGAAACGTGAGAAAGACTGACGGACGCTTGTACACATGAGTCAACATGGACAAGTGTCTACTTATTCTATTTGCATCCATATGATCGTCGTCATCTTGATATTCGGGACCACTTACGAAGGGGTTCAGCTTCTTCTTCATGGTACGTGTTGCCACTTTAAAAATCTTGTCGAGACCGAAGATTCGATAGCTGACTTTGTCGTAGATCTTCGTTTCTTTCATGGCGCAGGAAACGTTTCGAGTCTTCAAGTACACGCCAATAAAAATCGCAGCGGTGGCGGAGGACGACAAACCCGGGAGCTTCGGGCGAATCACGCTGACCTGGTTCACGGCTTCGACGATCACCTTGGCGACCGTTTGCTCCAAGAAACCGAGGTTTGGTAAATCCTTGATGTCGATCGGCGCCAGTGTTTGCAAGAATTTAATGTCGACGTTTGAGTATTTCTCGGAGCTGGTCAGGAATCTGTCGCGACACTCCTCCGTGCAAAACAGGTACACCTCGTCTTTGTACAGAACACCTATGCTCGACTTTCCGCGTACGAGTCTGCGACTCGGTAGATTGTCCGCGTAGGTGACCAAGCAGAAACCGTCGACTCTTAATCGCTTAGCCCAACACGGGTGTTCCACGTCGACCTCCTCCGTCAAAACTCGAGGACGATCTTCGGGCAGACGCGCGGTATTTATCGGTGGTAGGTGCTTCTCTGGATTTTTAACGAAGTCGTCCATGTGCCGCGGGCAGATCCAGTAGAAATGTTCCCTGAATTGAACCATTCCTCGGTGATTCGGCGGAGGTCCAGACGTCTTCATGATATTCTCGTGAAACAGACACAGAGGACAGTACGATTCGAATCGACTCTGTCGCTGCTTGAATTCGTACGGCGAAACGTTCATAAACGTTAAACTGTGAGGCTTGTCGTAATCGCTCTCGCGAAAATACGATCTGATTTTCGCGTATCTGGAGCACACTTCTCGATCGGCTCGCGTCCACACGTGCCACGTGCTCCTGGTGGCGTCGATTTCGATCACGTTCTGAGCGAATTTCCCCAGCCAATCGCGATAATTGCCCTGCCCGACGTTCCAACTCTCGTAACGATGCGCCAAGAATCCGTCGGAGAAATTCAAAGGCTTCTTCGTCTCGTCGGCTTCCCGAGATAGGCACTCTAAACAAAACGCCAGATTTGCTCTCAGGTCGAGCACGACCATCGGTTGAACGCCAAGAAACGTAAGTGCCTCGTACTCTTTGCGATTAACAGGAAAACCGTCCAGCACGAGGCCCTGAGAGGTCGAACAAGGATCGACGGAATACATTTCAACGGCACGCTGTAGGGATTCTTCAGGGGCTAGGTGGCCAGCTCGGAGGACGGACTCCTTTGATTCCGTCGACTCCGTCCAAGGAAAATGTTTCAGAACGTGGCGCAGAGCGGCTCCTCGAGTAACCATCTTTATTCCGTACTTGGTCGCAAATCGACGCGCGAGAGTCGTTTTTCCACATTTCGGCGGACCTATAATCGAAAGCCGAAAAGGAACGACAGGTGCACAGGAATCCTGTTCGACGTACGAGAGCGGATTCTTCAAGAACGCCGAACGAGCATCTTTACCGCCGAGAAAATAAATGAATCCTCGATGTATCACCGGATAGATCTCCTGTCGAGCTTCCAGTGGCAGAAACATCTGCAGAGGAATCGCATTTTCGCGCAACTGCACGGGACACCAACGGCCGAAAGAGCTTTGGAGATAGTAGCCGCAGTCGAGGAGCATTTCTGCTGTCTCCAAGTCAGCCGTGTACGTTTTCTCGAGAACGGAAACATCCCGTTTAGCGTAAGGAGTGAGAATTCTCATGATCTGTAAAATAATTTCTTTGATATCGCGTTCTCCGTCGATTACCACGTAAGGTATCGATTCGTTCTCCAGCGCGGTCCGTGTAGCGACCATCATTTCGGCATCGACTTCGTACATTTTCTCAAACTCTTCCTCGATCCTGTGCCTCGCCGTCTCGAAATCTTCCCAATCGGTGAAGAGCACAGGTTCAGGATTCTCTCGTCGCCACTGTTCGTCGAGTTCCAGCCGCTTGCTCTCTATTATCTCCGGATCGATGCCAAAGGACAGATCGGATGAGTTCGACGAATCATCATCTTCGTACGAATATAAAAATCGTTCGCCCTCTCCCATATGTAATTCCTCGATCGTCTCCCGCAGCATCTTCTGCATCCATACTCCCGCGTCACTTTCGTAATCACTCAATGCCACCGTGTAACGTAAATACTCGACGCGTTTCTTCTCTTCCGTCACATCCTGCCAGAGCTTGAGTAATTCCGGTATCATCCTCTCGCGCGCCTTGGCTCTACCGCACTGGAGTTCTATTATCATCTCGGGTATCGCGTAATGTTTGATCGCAGTCTCCACGTCCTGCGGGCAACTCGGGAATCGGTCCAACACGACGCCATGGAGGTTGTAGTGTTCCTCGAAAAATGCTAATAAACATTCGCGTAGCATTCTCTTAGGAAGAATCCCTCCTTCTTTCCAGTAGCGTCGAACGAAGGTCTGCACCGTAGCCCCGTCGGTGCTGTATCTCCGATCGTCTAGATCTTCGGGCAGTTCCACCTCCTCCGTGAGATCATTGGGTGAAACAAGAACACCTCTACGGGAAAGTGGGAACATTTGTCGGTCTTTGGTATACGTAGCGAAATTGTCGAAGTAATCCACGTGGACCAAGCCGTATTCTCGAGAAATCGCGTCAGCCACGGTGCTCTTGCCGCATCCCGTTGGACCAATGATGCTGATACGAAGAGGTGGAATGGTAGACAATGGCTTCCGAAAGGGAAGAGAGAACACCTGCGGACTGCGGACGAATTCCTCGAGAGCCGTAGCGCTGGAGAGGAGATAAATTCTGTTCATGAAAATTGCGCTGAAATCTTCTTTGCCCTTCCAGAAGACGTTGTATCGTAGCAGCGCTACTGGACAGTAATTATTAGTGTCGCCAAAGGGCCGATTATCATCCTTAAACTCCAATTCCGTTGCTCGTCCTTCGCCCTCCGCTTCGTCCTCTTCGCCTACAATTTCCGTAGTATCAGCCATGGCCATGTACTCCGCAAGGTCTTTCTCCCGTTCCTTCTCCTCGTCGCTCATAATTCTCGCTTTATCCGCGTAACGAGCTTCAATATTCTCGATGACGTACTCGGAGACGTTATCGATTTTACCGACGTTACAAGTGATCAGACTTTTACAGGACTTCGCTATCGTTTCCTTCGCATCTTCCCAGTCTAGTTCAAATTGTCGAACGTGTCGAAGGTAGTCCGCCAGCCCTCGAGTCTCTTCCTCTTCCTCTTCCTCTTCGTTTTTATTTGTGGTACCTTCCGAATAATCCATATATTCCCCTTCCATCTCATCGCGCGATTCCTGTTTGACTTTGTGAATGCTGTTCCATTTGGATATCAAGTATTCGTACGGTTCCTCGTCGAATAAGAGAATCGCATCTTCGAACACGATTTTCTGGTCTTCAACGATAGTTCTCCACCTTTGGAGGTCAGGATACATGCCATCCACGACGTAACCTCCGTCTCTCCATACATCGATATCTATCTCTTCCTTCGGTATATCTTGGATCTTTTTAATAATTACCCTCGTGTCCTCTTCGACGTCCGTGTAAGTCGAAAAATCGGAGAAACTGTACGAATCCGTCTCTTTCGAGTCCACCATCGTACCTCTGAAGACTCGCGCCAGCTTTTTGCATAGATCCGACTTTCCAGAGTATTTGGGTCCGAACACCGCCATTTTGCAGGTTGGCCGAGGAGCAAAGGGCAACAGGAAGGTTCTCGGATTCTCCAGAAACAATTCCATAGTTTCTTCCGAAGACAGGAAGAACATTTTGTTCATAAATTTGACGGCGTACTTGGACACCCCCTCCACGGTCTTCCCTCTGGCTAATTCCACCGGACAGAGGAAGTTCCAGGACGAAAGCCTCCAAGGATACATGGGCGACACAGTTTCTCTGTTCATCAAATACTGGAACGCTTCCTCGTTCGATTTGCTCTCGAATTCGTTCACAGGGATCGTTGGTGGCGATTCGTCGTCGAATTTTACCGCGGCAGGATCCATCGATCTCTTCGGAAGGATCATTCGTGGAACTGGCAGCAGGCGCAAACGCGAAACCGTGATTTGAAACATACGCGATACAGGAACACGGCCATCCACGCGTATCACGTTTTCTGGCTTATGCAACAGAGTCCATTTCTCGATGGCGGGCATCGCGAAACGTTTGTACAATTTGCATTGGGCCTCGACGTTCGATTTTCCGTCGCAGGGTCGCTTCAGCAAATACTTCCTCCGGTGATCGTCCAACGTTTCCTCCTCCCTCGCAAATTTTCGATGAAATTCCAAGGAAACGTTCGCGTCGTTTCCGGTTTTATCGTCGGAGAACATAGTTTCCATACTTTTTCCCTTCCCAAGAAAGCTCGTGTCCACTACGCGACCCGTCGCTGCGTCTGTGCGAAGATGTTCACGCTTTCTGGCAACGTCCGCATCCGGGCACGTTGCGTAGATAACGATCGACGGTTTTATAGGCCACGTGGTAAATATTTCTTCGACCTGATTATAAATAAAACCCTCGTAATTGGGTCTAACCGCGCACGCGTTATCCTTGAATTCTCGATCGGAAGAAATCGCAGACCGTTGGCATTGTTCGAGATCACCAGGCGTGGAGCATATTCTCTCGAACGACGATCCGTGGAGCTTCGCGTAATTCAGAGCGAGATTTTCGTCGTCTTCGTTCGAGTTGCGGTCGTAAGAGGAATAATCGAGCGTCTCGTTCGGAATCAGCGGCAAACCTTCCACGACGTAACCTCTGTGAAGCACGTCTCTCTTACCGATTCTGTTTTCCACTAAGCTCATGATAACGTCCGGACCTAAGCGTTCGCCTGATCTTAAAATGTCTACGATGGTTTTACCTCTTTCAGTCCCTTGCTCGATCTCCTGGTTTACGAGGTGCACTGGACTAATCAAAACGCAGTTCCAAGCGTCGGCGATCATGGCTGCGAGTTCGGCGAGGTTTAAACCAGGCTTTCCGAACACGGCGAAACACGTTGGTTTAGTTTGGAGGTATTTCTGAGTCGCCTCGGTCTCGCGATAGGGATCGCGAGTCGCGTAGGGTTGCTTGGAAGGCTCGTAATGAGGTTGAACGTTTCCGTACTTTCTCGATTGGCACTTGCCGGTGAATCTGGTGAATGGATTCGCATCTTCGTTGAAAGCATAGTAGGAGTTCGCTTTCGGATAGACACAGTCGTGAGGTTTTGGCCACGGTGGAACGTACTCCTGGCGAGGATATCCTTTGATAAAATGTAAGAAACTTTTCTTTGTGATAAACGACGCGTTTACGTAGAACTCTTCATCTCTACGGCCGTCGAGCTTCTCGGGACTCGAGATTCCGTCGCACATCGCTGAATATGTTACCGTGTTTAACGTATTCTCTTTTTAAAAAGGGCATTTTGAGGTTGGCTGCAACCCGTCAAGATATGGACAGGTTGTAAATCTATAGTTGCAAACAATTGACACGAAAGCTAACGATAGGTTAACTCTCTATGAGCCAAATTATTGTTACTTTGACATTTCAGATCGATGCCAACCGTCGTTAATATCGTTATTAGTCGAGCCGTTCGTTGTACAAATCGATTAACTCCATAAAATAAGAAGTTGAGAAATACGATGAAATAATATGTTTTTTTTTTTTAAATTCCCTTTATAATATAAATTCAAATAAATATTGTAGAATGCATAAATACAGATGTAGCTTTGTAAAATTAATAAGAAAAAATAGCCAAAAAATAATCGTCAGTAATGTTACAATTTTATTATTTGACGAAGTATCGATATATTATATTAGATATATATATTAATTGTACTTAAAAAGTTCTAGATATACAAAACTAATGCATTGCCGATTACAACAACAAAAATTGGTAATGGACGACCGTTCCATTACCCATTTTTTTGTTCGTAATGTGCCATTTTTCTGATAATGCATTACGAAAGTATCGCAATATTTGCGTAACTCTGGTCTCACGTAGACTGCGGATAATCATGCGAATTCATGTGTTCACAAATATAGAAAAAGGAGTGTAAATACTTATTTTCATTGGGATCGATGGTGCAGAATGGGAAATTCTCAGCAGCTGCCTGGCTTTTGGTGAGAACATTGAAGAAAGTTGATTTCCCTACGTTCGGTATGCCTACTATACCAACTTTTAAATTGGTACCCACGCGGCCGATAAGTGGTTTCCTTTCGGGCTCTTCAACTTTTTTTGGCGCCATTCTAGGGAAGAATACAGACATCCATTATTATCGTGTCTACGCTAATCAGATTCTATTTGTGCGTCGCTGTTTTCAAGATGGTGAAAGGAAAATCTTGGAGCTGGGCTATCATTTTAACGCAGCGGACACTACGGATATTACAATCTTTACAAAATGGACAATATTTACCCTGAAACGCGAGCAAAGTATCGTTCATTAAAAATTGATACATAATACGAGAACTGTTCTTATTTATTTCTTATTATCTTTTTGTCGCGAAATGTACTCCGTGGCTTGTCAAACCAGAGAATGATCACGTGATGACTATGGATATCTTTATTATTCGATTCGTTGAAGCATGTACAGACGGTACACGGTAATTTGCCGTGGAATCAGATTCGCTGCACTAGAATAACGTTCGACGCACCGGTGTCTCATTACTCGTGAATTACTCATCAAAGGGTTAAGTTTTCCGTGTCCGTGACTTTGTGACATCTTACTACTATGC